TCATGTTATATACTTTTTATCTTTGAAGCTGATTAAAAGGCATCAGTTTAAGGTCACATTTTATTTTATATATTATTCTAATAAATTACAATCATTTAAACCTATGGTACAGTCTACTAGTGTTCAACACTTTTCGCTATTTATTATACGTGAACGATGTATTTTAATATTTTACTTAGCAAATCATACTGCATGTTAAATAGATAAACTAAAATTAAAAGTTAAATGTTGACACGGAAAATTACAAAACATTGTTTTAACAATAGAAGTAAGATTTATTTACATTATTTATGATGCCAGTTTTTCATTGTTAGCTTTAATTTGGAAAACCATATAATTATATATCAATATTTGCTTCAGTGTTCAAACTGTAAATTAGTGTTCTGAGAATACATTTAAAAACTAAGATAGTATTGGTTTCTATTTAAGATGTATGCAAATAATAGCTTGAGCTTTTAAGGATGTGCCTTTACTAGGGGACAATTCACAGAATTTCAAGAAAAGGTATTAAATTGTCAACTTGCAACACCGCTCTATGAATACATATGCAGCTTTTACTTTATTTCTCAATTTAACACCATGTTCATGTTTAAACTTTTAAGTCTTCAATAACTGGTGCTATTGGGCGTGCGAGCAAAATTGCATTTACAACAGACAACCAAAAAAAGATCCTGTAACTTTTTTTTTTTGGTTTTATATCATAAATATAGTGCTCAAATGAAGATTTATAAATATTGTAAGGTCCAAAAAGCAGCATTTGCAAAGATATTACCGAATTTTCATGTTAATAAAGTGAGGTAATTTATTATTATTTTATTACATTATTTTCTATATTATTATCATTTGTTTTCTTTAAAGTCTAAGTCAAATTTTGCAATAAGAAAAGAATGCATTATGTTAATGATTACATATAATGTTTGAAAAGAAATGTTTTAGAAGCACTTTTATTACATACATATATAAAATTCAACTTAAGTGTGGTTACAACCTTAATTACAACAAAGAGGAGCGAAAAAGTAAATGCTTTTTACTTTATTCTTTACGAGTATCAATTTTATATGTTATACAGCAAACGCTCATACTTTATCAACAACAAAAAAGCTAAATTTAAGTCTTATCTTCTTGTAATGCAGTTTGATAAAAGTCGGGGGAAATATCTTAAAAGCATCATAATGACAGAATCTCATATCTATAATTTATGGTAAAGATAAATACGAGTAATTTTATGTTATCAGTACCATTACGAAGGCAATAAGCATAATGTAAGTATCTAAATAATGTGGGTCTTGATCTTCTTTTCTAAAAAAGTAGAGAAATATGTCTTTCAAAAATAGATCTTATCGGTGCCTTTTTTTTTCTTATACACCAAAGAGATAATCCTGGCAAGCGCTAAATTAGTTCCTATTTCCTAATTTTCTTAACTAAAGCCATTCTCTGATATTTTACGTAGGCATCTTATAAGAAGCTAAAACCTATTAACAGTTGAACGCCTCTTGAATCCTATATGACACTGAAAAGATTGCTTTTTACGATCATTTATTTTGATTCAATCAGATATTTATATGCATTATGACAAAATAACGTCATATTAGCAATATATTAAACACTGCAATATTAAAAGTGCATTATTTAATATATGCATACATTTTATTTAGCATCTATATAAATTGCGTTTTATAGCATCTTAATCTTTAATTATGCAATTTCGATTCATTTTTGTTTCTAATTAATAAGCATTTATTTTTTCCTTCAATTTAATATCTATATTGTAAAACATTTTATAATACAAGCGTCCAGGCACAAGCCAAGCATGTGGTTTGTGTCTCAATAAGTTTCCTTTTGCTAAACTTAATAGTCTAAGATAACGAATCAAATGAAGGTTGAATTTTTGAATGTGTTATTTGTTCAAATTATATGGCCAGCACTTAGTGACACTTTCTAATGGACTGAAATGAGCTGAAAGTAATTTCATAATTAAATGCTTTTACTATCATAGGTTATCAAAAGAGAGAACTGAAAAATAAACCTGACATTAAATCCGTACTTTAAGCATTTTAAGTAAATTTACATTAGACTTACATTTGTAAATATGTTTTTCCAGCTTTCCTATATTTGACCTTAATGGACCAAAATACCACAATAATAAAAACATTGTTTTGGTAGTGATGTCGTCATAAACTTTAAAATACTAATAAGAACAATCATTAAACAGTGAATTGTGTGTCCGGTCCTTGCTCTGATTGATCAAAAGAGCAATCTTTTCTGATAGTTAGATCAGCTTCGTTAACCTCGCTTCAAGTTTTTAAATTTGTATTCAGAAGAGTATTCCACAACAATCAACTTTAAATTCCGCCGTTCATGAATGTCCGTAACTTCATTGAAAATGTCACATGTCAAATTGGAATGTTTATTTCGTTCCTTGCAAGAGTTCTTTCAGTATACAGAGAGGTTTTCATCATTTTATTCTATTATAAAAACAACGAATGGGTTCCTTAAGCAATGAATTTTTTTTCACAAATAAATAGTACACAAGATATTGAATTAAAAGTATAACCCGTCTAAAGCCCTGATTACATGAACATGCTGCAACATTTATCTTTAAGAATTTAAAAATCAAAATTATACAATTATTCGGCCATTGAATACTTCAGGCAAGCGAACTACGTACCATAGTTTAAGCTGTGTTCTAATCAGAATGAAAGGACTGTTATAACGTGAAAATGTGAAATAGTTTTACTTTCAAATTGTTATTTTGTAATAAATAAGCTTCATATATACATTGTATTTTGAATAGTGTGATTACACTCGTAAACTATTCTACTTCAATAACAACTGTCACATTAAATCACTTGCAATAAAATGGCGGATATGCCAGGGCTGGTATTTACGTGTATTATAATCTATGTTATCAATATAGAAATCGGGACAGTTTGGTTGTCGTTTGGAAACAATTGATTTCTAAAAACAGTCATGACAAAAATATAATCAAGTCCATCTGTTGTAGAATAGTAACATGAATAGCAATCATTTATCACAAATAAAATATAGTAGAAATTTCAAATTTAAGTCCCCAAAAAGTTAAACGGTAACTTTTAGATTAGGTATTATTTGTTTTTGATTGATTAAAATCAAAATATTTATAATCTACAGATTTCGTACTCAAATTTAGATCAACAATCAATATGACAACAAACGGAAAAAAAACAATAAAAAATGTTAACCATACAGAGGTTGAAATTAAACAAAAAAACAAGATGTTTTGATTACTAAACGGTTAAAATGAAAATGAATTTATCACTGTGTCAATAATAACATGTTGTAAAGTAGTATACTCCTAAATGCATTAACTCAATTTGTAAGGTAATAAGATAGGATAGGATTAGTTAAAACTGCATTGAAACTAAGTCGTGGGTTCAAAACCCTGTAAGGTCAACTTTTGTTTCTTTTTCTCTTTTCGTAAATCATTACCTATGTATCTCCCACACATAAAGAATTAAATATTTCATAGTAAGATAATGTTGCTAGAAATTCTAAATGTAATAAGTATACCATGTAATCAGTATGGTATCTGATATTTTCAAATTAACACTACACAGTAAAATTATTTTTATTTAGCAAAATTGACCATTAAACTTTGAGAAATTGTAGACAATGTCTCAATGAAGTTATAAAATGATTACTTATCAAAAGTAAAAATTAAAATGATAACGTATCAAAAGGAATATATATTCGAATCTTACTATAAAGATAAAATGTTTGTGCTGTAATATCGTTCAAATTGACAGTCTTAAATATACTCGAAAATAATCATGAACAAACTTTGTTTTTACTGGTATCTAGAGTAACTTTCTAAAAAAAGGTTTCCTTTTTATCACACTTATAACTAATTCAGATAACTTGGTTGTTTTGAATTTATAACTTTGGCACACTAGCAGTTCTCATTTGTTTAATTATTCATTAATTGTCATGTTTTTGTCACAATGACACTATGAAGGTCACGTGGTTACTTTTTTAGCTGGCTTGGTGGAGAGTTTTCTGTTAATGATGCAAAAAAAATCAAACTGTCATCCCTTATATTGGTAATGAATGGTCTTAGAAAACAATTATTGAAACATTAACATAAGTCATATTTAAATTGTGATATCATTACAGTTTACATTTTATGTAAAAAGGCACCTCCAAGGGGATAAGTTTTTAAATAATAAAACATGTAAACAGCAATATAGTTTACCTACACATTTTTTTATTATTATTTGCATTATTATTATTATTACTATAATTATAATTGAAATAATACAAATTCATATGTACTCACAGGCATTTGCCTTTTGTTCAATAAAATTATTCTACTCTATAATAACTTAACTTTAAAGAAATATACATTTATATTTCTATGTCTTCTTGATATAATGTAATGCAGATTTGTACTTATTATATCAAGTCTAAATAGCTGTATATATTATTGTGTCAATCGTCAGAATGTATTATTTATATTTAAAACTAACAGTATCATCCCAGCATCATGTTTACTTAAACAGCATGTTTGTGATTGCTATAGTTACATTAAGACATTATTTTTTTAGAAAGAAGTAAATATATACAATATTTTCAACTCATGTTTCATGTTCGACGAAATAAAGATTTGTGTTGCTTTTCGTTTCTTTGTTAGTTTGGATATTGTCGTTTTACTGTATAATACAATTATAACATACAATAACAATGCAAGTGCAATGAATCTTGACATTTGTGTCTTGAATGAAGCTATGATATGATTATGCATACATTTGTCTGAAGTAGAAGTTAAATAATCAGCCTAAATAGTTCCTGCAATTTGTGTTGAATAAGTAATGATTTTCAATATAAATTTGTTTGCTTACTAGGTAAAAACAGGTGTTTAAAAACAATTATCTTTTGCAATATATTAGGCCAGTATTTTTATATTTTTCGGTTTACTGACCCGCCGACCCTGTATTTTGGAAAATGAAAAAAAAAAAAAAAATTTTTTTCAGGAAAAAAAAAATTCTTACGGCCGATTTTACGGAAAATGTACCGTATGAACGGTTTTTATACACACCAGTAAAGCGCTCATGTATCATGATCGAAACGTTTGGATTGAAACATGGCTTTCAATATTTGGTTTGGAATTGTTTTCTGCACTTGTTCTTCAAGACGCATTAATAAATTTGTGAAAGGAACTTCAGGACAGACAGTTGGACATGTAATATCATTGAACATTCCACCTGAACTGTGTAACTTGAAAATTAAAGAAATTACGGCTACCGCCAAATTTGATGAAACAAATTCAGGCAACAGTATAAAATGTCCGGAAGATATGCCCGTTGACATTTTGAAAGAAAACGGCATGAAATATATCATCTGTGAATTTGAAAATGAGAGCGAAAAACCATCTACAACAGGATCTCAGAATGCTTCTGCATTTGACGTACTGATGGCAATGCGGAGAAAATATTCATATTTACCAGAAACCAGGTAAATCTCATCGGGGCTATAATTTAAATTTAATAACAGTATATATTTCATAAGAATGAATGTGATATGATGAAACGTTTTGAATTAAATTTTACTCTTACTTTTATATGCCATTTTACTTCTGAAATTTACAGGCAAAAGATGACATATAAACAGTGTTTATAGGCAAGGTCATGTGATGAAAGTCAATTTAGTACATAAATCTCGACAGTTTTTATTTTCCCTTATCTTGCTCTTGTCTGTCTGTACTGTTGTATGTCAGTATAACAAATTGCAGGACCGTGCGGATGGGGACTCCCATGACCATAGACAAAGTTCTAACCATGAATCGTAAAATGACTTTATACAACATAAAAAAATAGTAAATTTTCCACCAAAATTATCAAAAAACTGCTGCATCCAAGTTTGACTTTCAATAATATGACTGCTGGTAAAAGATCAACACTTAACATGGTATAATGACAATGAAAGACCAAAATATGATTTAATACATGTATATGAAATATGTATTGCAACAAAATTCAATATTCTTTTGTAAGAAAACCTATCTTTAAAATTCTGTTTACAGAGAGAAAAAAAATGAGAAAGATCGCTTGTACAACGACATTATTGCTTGCTTTGAAAGAGAAAATGTGAAATTTATGAACCATCAGATTGACCTAGGCACACAGATAGTCAAAGATCTTTGTAATGTGCTGTGGTATATAGACCCTTTCCATGAACGACTAAAGGCAAGGTACATTAAGATTCCTGAGCCATTTGACACTTTCACTGGTTACAGGAATTGGAAACAGCAACACAGACAAGAACCAAAGGTAAAATCTGTCAGACTGACTGCATCTATTTTTTTATTTCGAAATGCATATACAAATCTGGATTCATGACCCACATCCATGGAATTGGAATTTCATTAATGTTTGTTCAACATTGGGAAAAAATGCATGAGTGACTAAATGAATGCAAACAATCACTGTCTAGGAGGGCATCTTGATTTAATGACTGCAAAAAATTATTTATATATTTCTATTCAATATGTTTATTTGTAATTTTTAATTGGAAACTTTTTCCTGTGGATTGGGAAAGTAATATACTATTTTCAGTTGGAAATATGACTGAACATTGGCTATTAAGTATTAAAGCCAAAAAAAATCCCCGTCAGACTTATAAATTGTATATTCAAGTAACATCATTAATATATATTCTATGTGTGACATCATTAATATTATTCTATGTACAAATTTTATGTAAAATTGAGCTTTTTTAAAAAAGTTTATAGCATTACAGTATAAGCCCTCATTTTGGATATGTGATGAATAGAATTATATTTGTATATATTTGTATATATGATAATTTCTACTTGTCCATGGGACAACCTGGTCAAAACAGTGTATTGATTTTGCCGCCTCTGTATAAATAATAATAATATGAAAGTCTTTTTTTATCTTGAGGCTTGAAGTCAATTTGGAATTTAAGTCATTGACTAATCATCCAGAATATTATATTCACCATATGCTGTTAATGTTTACAGTGTAATCATATTTGAACATGTATTTTTGTCTGTGTTGCAGATCACTCTTGAGGAACTTAACCTACAGATTGAGAGGCTTTCTCACATTCTTATGCTTCCATGGTTTTTAAACGAGAAATTTTCATCATTTCGAACAAAAGTAAATGAGTTGGCTACTTGTCTTGAGAAATACGCCACCTTTTTATGTGACCAAAACAAACGTACAGAAAAAAATCATCATAACCTTGAACCAGTACGATCATGGAGTGACAATTTTAGCTTTAATATCAAATCAGCACATGAAAAGGGTCTCAATAAAGGAAAGGAAAACACAAAAAAGACAATTGTAAAATACTCTTACAGCAATGTTATTGAAGCTTTAGAAAATTTAGATTATTATGAACCTTTGGATTTGGTAGAATTGGAGCCAATTGATGCCGTGAAGCGCAGAGCATGGCTTGAACATATGGAACTGCCTTTCCCATTTGGTATATTTACATATAGTCATGGCAATTATCTTGGCAATCTGACAGTTATCTGGAAGCAACCCCCAGATGTTCAGAGTCGTGATAGTTCCGAAGATGTACGTGTTATCAATGACATTAAAGCTAATATGACCAAGTATGCTACAAGAACAATGAGAAGAGACTTTATAGATATGTATGGGAAATCAGTAAAAGCAAAGCCTGCCATACTACGCTCAGTATTTTCATTTCTTACAGGCTATAAAATGTCTCCAGAAAATGAACAAGAAGCTTCAGTAGATGAACGAGTGTGTGAGTTTTTATTAAATTCTGATGATCCAGAACTAATTCTTGACCTCCGAAAACATAACGGAAGGATTAAAAATCCAAAATTTGATCCTTTTTGGGATGAACTTGAAAAGTATCTACAAGAGAAGAGCGTGGTACATGAACGACGTCATACAGATGCCAGTTACATGCCATTCGCCATTTCTATAACTGATTTGCGAGATCAGATTTTAGAGAGACTACCATCTGGGTCAGCAGCTCCATCACCATCATGGATCCGTTTGAATTTCTTGCCATCAAATCCTTATGTAAAATCAGCATTGAATTACACTGGTAGATATAATGTTAAATATGCTGTACAGCAGCGATTGCTTAGAGCTCAGCATGTTGATTCCCCATATGCGTACTACCAGTATGACTTATTGAAACATTTTGCTGTGAAATGGAGAAGCGTCACTCTTATGCAGTGCCTAGATGACAAGGCTATCATCCCAGTAGGAGAGCCTGGGAAACCAACGGCAGCATGCAGCAGATCTCATAATCGTGGTCTTGTAGCGGGCACAAATCCTCAGCTTTTATCACTTGATCATGACTATAACATCTGTGGACTTGTCCCATCTGTATACTTAGATGTAATTATCCCCTCTCAAGTAACAGAAACTTTTCATCGCGGTGATGTGCACATAACTGTAAAAGATAAAATATTTGAAGCATCGTCTCCTTTAAGACATGGCACTGAGTCATTAAAAATTGTTCGTGAAACTAGGTCACAAGATGGAGTACACAGTGATTGTCCTATAATTATTCGATATACAGATGGTGGCCCAGACCATCGTACAACTTATGCAAGTGTCCAGTTTGCTGCCATTCTTGAATTTATTGCGCTTGATCTAGACATGTTCATTGCTTGTAGAACCGCACCAAATCAAAGCTATAACAATCCAGCAGAACGTGTCATGTCACTGTTAAATCTTGGTTTACAGAATGTCTCACTGTGTAGAGCAGAAATGGATCCTGGAAATGAAATGCTCATGAAGTCAATGACATCTCTTAAAAAGATCCGCAACTGTGGAAAACCATCGTTGAAATCAGCATTAAAGGAATCCGTCAACGTTACAATGAATGTAGTCAAAGATATTTTTTCTCGGTTAAATAGAAAACATGGGTATGTGTTTGTTCATGATGCTTGTGACGAAACAGAGATTGCTGATCTTTTAACTATGATTAAGTTAGTCACTGATGAGGATATTGATCCCAAGTGGAAGTTTAACAAGAATGGGAAATTCCAAAACTTCATGTTGCGTCACTGCCGAGAACGGAATTATGTTTTTCAGGTTTGTATTATACTGAATTTTAAAAAAAATTTACAAATGGACTCAATGGTCTCATGATTATCAACATGGCTAACTTGAAATCACAAGTGTTGTCACTGAAATAGGTTAATATTAAAGAAAAATATATTATTTAAATTAATTTGAAGCTTATATCTCTCAGCAGTGTTAGTCTTTTTGTTACATATTTAAAGAATTGCAATTGTTTAAGTGTACTAAAATAGTGAAAACTGAAACTTTTTCAAATTTTTATAAGTTATATGTCATTCCATACCTTAAGTTTGTTTAGTGAGGAATGTGTTCAAATATTATTATGTATATAATATCTTTCTTTTTCAATGCAGATATTTGTAGGCTTCTTTTTTGTAATATTTCCAGATAAAGAAATGTGATCTGCAAAATGTTGACAGTTGTCCATACTGTAGTCTTTCTCCACCCAGAATTCCAGAGGATCGTTACTGTTCTCTGAACTTTCTACCTGACCCTGTCCTTGATCAGGATGGAAATTACAAAAGCTTCGAAGAAGTATATGGTACTGAGACAAGTGAGAATGATAGACCATCACTAAAGGTGAAACCTGAAGCTTCTGATAGAGATAAACGCTTCAAATCTGTAATGGTGGCTGGTATGCACATAGTTGTAGCTTTAACACTTTTCTGAATGACAAAGGCAAACACATATTGATGCTTTTTCAAAAGATTACAACAATATAAGTTACTAATGTTTTAAATGAATTGAATTAATAATGTTTGATTCTTTTGCTATTGACATATTAATGTGACTATTTGTTTCCTTTGTCATTCATAATTTCTTAAACATCTGTTCCTGTTACCAACTCCTCTTTTTAGCTGTATCTTACTTTTTATACATTTTATTTTACCATAATCATTAGAAAGTTCTTACTTTTCATACATTGTATTAATAATACCATATTAAATCATTAGAATTCACTATTTAACCATTTATAATGCACTGTAATAAACATAACCTTGTAGAGCTAGATATGCATCCCCTCTTCAAAAAAACATCTGTTTACTCATTTACAAACCTGTAGTAGCTTAAGTGTGGCTAATTTGCTTTGTTTTCAAATGCTTAATATTGACCTTTGTATATCTTGTACTAAGTGTTTAAAAATGCTGTAGCATTGTAATAGATATTAACTGCCTTTTTGAGGACTTTCATTTGGAGAAAATTCAATACATATGCTTATATTTTTAACCAGTATAAAAAGGAGATGAATTAAGCAGTGAATAAAAATTTAATATTGAATAGAATTGCTGAATTTAACAATGTCATAGAATATAAATTATTAGAATTCAAATCATAAGAAGATTTTGTACTTTAACATTACTTCAAAGCTCAATTTTAATGTTTTCAGAATTCTGGAAAAGGAAAAGTTTAATTTTATTTTCCACAGGTAAAGTTCGTGGCTTTGTTCATTGTGTTGAATGTGGCAAAAGAAGGGTGGTGTATTGTTCAACCAGGTTGACACGACAACAAGATAACCTTATAATACGTGTTCAGGAAGAGATGATGTATGTTTGTGGGAACCCACTTTTTTCTGGTGGACCTATGGAAGATGTCTTGATTGTAAGAGAAGGGATGAATTGTTCCACCACTATTGAAACATCTTATTATGCTGGTGAGCTACATGTATTATATGAACTCTATTACAAAAGTTTTAAGTATTCTTGTATTGTACATATTATTCATACACAGGAAATAAAGTTTGTCCTCTGAGGCATCTTAAATAAATAGGACAAAGAAAAAACAAATTATGTCTCAGTGAAGCACTTTTATTTAAATATTTATTACATACACATTTTAATAATTATAAATATACCAGGAGAAAAATATTTATTACATACACATTTTAATAGTTATAAATATACAAGGAGATCTCAAATCTTTTGGGGAAAATACTTTAAAATAGTAACATGTTTGATTCTTTCAATTTAATACTGGTTTTTTACAGAAAGTCTATTTGGAGAGATTACTGACACAAACATTATTCTCTATTTTCAGGAATAACACAGATATTTGATGAGATATGTTTTTACTGCGGTGACTTAGATGTAATAAGGAATGATGAGATCGCCCAGCTGAAAGAAGAATTTAGCATTGTCCGACCAATATGCAATACATGTTTCAATGTCAAACAACTTAAGCCCGCTACAAGAAATGCTAAAAAGTTAAAAAAGCATAAGAAATAGAGTTGACTGTATTATTTAACAGACAGTTGTCTTTGGAAACTGTAATATATATAAAAAAGACACATCTTCAAATTTAGTGTTCAAATGTTGTATATGTTTTTGTTATCTGGTAAAAACAAACATGCCTACTACATGTGCTATTAAAGGTCTTGTTGGCTCATTTTCCTTGGTTCTTCACAGTAAAGACTGAATACACTATTAAAATATTCATATATACAGTATTCAGGAATAAATTTAAATAAGAAGACTTTCCGATGTTTTTTGTTTGTTTTTTCAGGATTTTTTTTTTTTTTTTTCCCTCCTCCTACCCTACCCTTTTTTGAAAAAAATCAGTAAACCAAAATATAAAAAAAAATGGCCTTATGCAAGAAACTATCATGATGGAGAATAACAATTTATGATGTATATACATCTGCTTCAAAAAATAATTCTTTTTACTTCATTTTAAAATTGTCATAAATATTAGCATGAATCTGAAACCCTACTTAAAATAGCAGTAAAGTATTTTGCTACGGATTAGTTACTTTTGTTATTATAATAGTAGGTATAGGTTATAGGTATAATATCCATGGGTGTTACGTTATAGATGGCATTTTATGTTACAGCTCTTTCTAGAATTGATCATAAGATTATGGTAACAATATAAATTTACTGTTGAGAAATTAAAAAAAAAAGGAAACATAACAAATATACGCTTTTAAACCTTTATCAATTTTTTCTGCTTTTATTATACATTAAAGAAAGAAGTTTAAGCAGATTCAGTCATTTGCTGCATGTAATATTTTTGTGTTTTTGACATCAGAACTTAAAAGCTGCGAAACTTTGATATTTTTTTTCTGAAAAAAATCATAGTGTGATAATGTTGCTTTTCAGTATTTTGTAAAAATGAACCCAAAAAAAGGATGGTAAAAATTAGGACGTTTTTTTTTATTATTTTTTGCTTGTATTGTTTCATCATCCTAAGGATATATTGTCTTTGTCTTTTGAAAGCTGTTTGTGATTCGCATGTATTAAAACGGTCCATTGCCTTGCAACATGTATTCTTTTAATTTGCTTCCATTTACTTGTTCTGTCTTTAATGGGGAAACATATGCGGCTTTAGAATTAAAAATTAATAGACGTCTGTTTCGCGCTGAATACGCACATTAGCTCGAGAAATGTTTTATTTTTACCTCTACAATTGCACGATATAAGAGACTTATTGTAGATAAGAATGGTGAAAAGTTACTTTCAATTTTGATGATGCAGCGTTTTTATCTACATGTTTGAAATCATTATTCAATGCAAATAATGATCAGAAAGTAATATCGAGAAAGGTGGTTTCCATTTTTTTTATTCAAGAAATATTATGTGTACTTCATTGTACTTAATTGTTTTAATTAAATTACGCATCAAGTAAGTAATGTTAATTTAACATATTCAATGTGCATGTAATGCATGTATTATATGTTTATTTTCGTAAAACTAAGTTTGCATAGCAAAACGTTCTTTTGCCAAAACGGCACAATTGCGAAATTTTAACATAACTTTGTCTGAGGTTAACTTATCTGTTATGTAACTATTTTCATTTTGTTAATGAGGGAACATACAAAGTGTGTACATTATGGACATCATGGATGTTTAGAAACGTCAACAGGATAATATCACAGGTTAATGTCAATAGAAGCCAGAAATATAATAAATTAACTTAAAGATATACTATGCTCCAATTTTATATTTTAAATATTGATAACTGCTACACAGTCTCTTTGTAAATATAGAATAATCATGTTTTGACTTAACACAAAGTAGATACCTTATGTTTTAAACTCTACACTATATAGGTTGACACACTAGAAATATATAGTGTCAAAGTAAATTTCTACTAACATATCACACATATTTAGTCTCAAACAATTTCTTACAGTGAACTTTATAGTATTGATTGAGATATAAAATTGTTAAAACCTAAATCCTAAAAGTCTGGACCTAATCCTTCTTCACTAGTTGTACATAACAAATTTTGGAGAATGATAAGCTAAATTTTATCTGGCAAACTTAATATCTTAAAGTAAATGCCAGGCACGTCAGAAAACTATTAATTTTAAAACAAAAATGAGCCGCGTCACGACAAAACCAACATAATGGGTTTGCGACCAGCATGGATCCAGACCAGCCTGCGCATCCGTACAGTCTGATCAGGGTCCATGCTGTTCGCTATCGGTTTCTCTACTTGTTAAAGATTTTGTAAGCGAACAGCATGGATCCTGATCAGACTGCGCGGATGCGCAGGCTGGTCTGGATCCATGCTGGTCGCAAACCCATTATGTTGGTTTTGTCGTGACGCGGCTCAAATATTCAATTAAGCGTGAGGATATTAGTTTTATTCCCTTTATATTGTGGTATTTGTTATAAATGACTATTGTGGCCCATAAACATTTACAGTGACATCGTTTATATCAATACCGATATACTTTTACTTAAGTCAATGCCATCTTTTGTCATTAAATAGAATTTCTGGCAAATATAAAGTTACCTCTTCCTTTAGAAGATATGTTTTGGCAAAGTATAAAAACCCGACTAACTTGTAAATATCGAGGGTTCAAAGGTAAACGGTTATAACTGCCATTTTTGCTGAAATCGACTTTTTATGTTTTTTATAATGTACTTATTGTCCTTTATGTTTGGCGAAAATATTATATAAATATTCAATCCTTATAAGGGCAAAACATTAAAAAGTATTTTGTAATAACTTCTTTTCTACAAATTATGTAGGGGTAAAAGGTTCTAAGTGTACTTATTACCTGTTGTTTACTTGTTGTGCCACATGTTGTGAGGAATCTGTAGCGGAAAAAGGTTATGACTGATTTTATCACCTTTTTCCTCTGACACAATACTACATTCATACAGTTCACAGGCACTAATCTGTTATCTCTTTTCCCAAGAAATTTATCTTGTAGATTTAAATGCAGCGAGAATATAATCGAAGATGAAAGACAGAAAATATTCAGTACATACTGGTCAATGGGTGATTACAAAAGTCAGAAGCAATTCATTTGTTTCCATGTTGCCAATAAAGAACCAGAAAAGGTATCTAAACAGAGAAGAAAACAAAGAACTATTTCAAATTCGTTTTTCTTCCTAGTTGGTGGCAACGACTTTTTTCTAAAAACTCTCGATGTCGGTTCCAAAACAGTTGCAAGCGCAGTTCAAGCACAAAGTGGCAGGGTTATATGTTGGAAATGACAAGAAAGGGAAAGCTGTGCCTGGAAATAAAACAAAGAAATATCACAGATTATTTGTAAAGAAACACATCGAAAGCTTTCCGACTTTTGAATCACACTACACACGAAAAGACTTCAACAGGAAGTATCTAACGCAAGATTTAAGTATAAGACGAATGTACTCACTGTATGTAGAAAAATGCAAAGGACAAAATAGAAGGTGTGTTTCAGAGTCTGTATACAGAAACATTTTCTGTACAGTATATAACTTGTCTTTCTTCAATCCTAAGCAAGATCAATGTCCACTCTGCAATCTGTATGACACTTTGAGAATGGAAGATAGACTAGATGAGGCAACAAAAGCAAAATATCAGGCACACCAAGAAAGAAAAAAAAACAATGCTAGAATGGAAAAATCAGCCGATAAAGAACGGACAAAGAAAGATCCAAAGTTTTCTGTGTCGGCATTTGATATCCAGGCTGTATCGCCAAACACCATGCAGTTTAATTGGTGAACTTTATTACAATAGAAAACTGTGTTGTTACAAAAAAATATTTGCCATTCTATGAACTGGGAAATGGTAACGAGACTTGTTATCTGTGGGATGAGACACAGGGGAAACGAGGCTCGTGCGAAGTAGGAACTTGTGTGTACTTGTGTGTTACTTCTGATGCAAGTAAGACATCTGTTATTGAAGAAGTGACATTATATAGTGATACATGTGGGGGACCGAATCGCAATCGGTTTGTTGCATGTTGCTTAGTTCACTGTGTCCAGTATATTCCTCACATCAATTGTATAAACCACAATTTACTTGAAAGTGGTCATTCAGAAATGGAATGTGATTCCATACATGCATCTATCGAGCATGCAAAAAGCCTCACAAAAGTACAGGTTCTATATCAGTGGGAAACGGTTATATCATAAGCACGCCGGAAGCAACCATATATTGTTGTTCTAATAAAATACACTGACATACTAGATAACAAGTTGTACAAAGAACAAAACTTTGGCTCAATGAAATTTGATGTTGATGGAGAACGTGTTAATTGGCTGAATATAAAATGGATTCAAGTTCGTAAAGACAAAGAAATGAAAGAATACAGTATTTTTGTGAACTATGGTTTTTGATGTAAGTGAGTTCAAGGAAGTTAGGTTAATGCAGAAGAAGAGCAGAAGCAAAGAAAAGTCTCTTAAGGCTCTACGAAAGGCTTATACAGAGAAACTCTCAATATATGCTGCAAAAAAGCTGATTTGATGTCACTTGTTGCCTCTGGGACAATTCCGAAGGAGTACGAATCATATTACGAGTCATTGTCATGCAGCAAATCTATAAAAGACAAACTGTTAGTGAGAGTGAAGAAGATGAGTGAACTTCATGGAATAATTAATGACAAACATTCACATTTTGTGACATGAAACAGTAGTCTTTATTTACTTAACTATGATATGGGTCACTAATATCCTTAATTGCTGATGTCTGGGGTCTGTTTGACTTCAGTTCGATTATATACCAGAGAACATTCAAAATAAATGAAAATTTGTAAACTTAGATTTTAGTGCGTATTTTCCTAACTTTTTAGTTATCAATTTATTTCTGTAGAATCTAAATATTGAGCAGGTATATATTTCATATTTCTATGAATGAAAATTGTCAATTTTGTGTACGAGTATTATTGTGCATGTGTGTTAATGACATTACGTAAGGTTCTTCAAAGTAAGGACATAATTAATAAATTTGCAACAGTAACAATTACTGCAACATCTAAATTCTTTTCAGAGGAACAAGGCTATAACTGCACTTATAACCTTTTACCACAATTTATCTCGAACTTTTATTGCTAAACCTTCAGAAGTAAAAGGTCGTAAGTGCAGTTATTACCTTTTACCGCTCAAACTTGTTGTCTTTACAGGATCTAAGTACATTTATTACCTTTTACTTCTGTAAAATGATATTATTTTGATCTTAGAACTTTAAAACAAAACATAATTACAGTGTTTTATCAGCACCAAGCAAGGTAAACTAAACAAAATATGATCTAATGTAGTCAACAAATATGGGAGAATCAAAATTGTTATAAAAA